ATGTCAAAAAAATCCTAGGTTGAAAACACTTCTGATCCAATTTGGATTCAATAAAATCACATGATCTCATGTAACAAAACAAACATGAAAAACATAAGAAATCGTAAAAAAAATGTAAATAAAACAAAAATTTACTATGATAACCAACTTCCGACCACTAAGTAAAAGTTTTCAAAATGAAATTTTATTTATAAAACATAATTTTTTATATTAGATAAATAGTAATTTTTGAGATACTATGACTCATATTTTTTTCTGGCAGCTCAGAATTAGGATACTCATAGTGAACCTGATCGATGCTTTATCCAGGGCATGAATGACACATTATCTGAGGTATATCAATATCCAATCAGAATGAACTTCTGCTATTCTATTAATAAATATATATAAGTTAATAGTATTAAAGATCCAAAGCAAATTATTTTGAATAATCTACATTACGGCGTGTTAGCGAAATTAAGCAAACAATTGGTCCCCAAATTTGATTTTGGTTACCAAATTATATATTAAAATCAATGTTAAATCCCGAAAAAAAATTTCAGACTCCTGTTCTGTATCGATAACGAGTCTAACCCATTTTCCCCAGAAGCTAACACATCTCCCCACCACTGACGCATCTCATTAGACATAGGAATTTATTAAAATGATGCATCGTAACTTATGGAATGTTGATTATCTCAGTAAAATCTATATTTACATATTAAATGGTCAAAATTTCAAATTTTGGGGTACTTCGCAAATGCGCAGTAATGTATATACATATTATACAGATATGCAAAAACAGATAACTCTACTTATCATGAGATTCAATATAAAGAATATATATAAATAAAATATCAGACCATTAATTTATGTTTTTTTTTCTTTTTTAAGTTATGTTTACATCTGATCCGGCAATTTTATTGTAGTAGTATAATGTCCTACGTTACGATTCTGAATAGATAAATATACATAAGTTTACAGTATTGTTACTTATTATGTAAAAAATTTGAATACGTATTTGGTAATAATAAGTAAAGATACTTAGCTCATCTCTACTTATGTTACTTTCCAAAAAATACTTCTGAATAATGGTTTGAAATTATTTGCCAAATTACAGCTATTCAAAAATTTGCTTAATTGGTAGAGCTGAGTTTTAATTTAAATACACATGATTCAAATATAAATATTTTTGATTTGTTTACTTTTTGATACAATCTTCGTTTGATACAGTCTTTGGTGCGATGGATAATGATACAGTTCTTTATACAACTGATGATGCCCTTCCAGAAAAAATAACTAATAAACTTACGTGTCCCGGTAATTTATAAACTGGTTTAGTTTTTTTCGATTAAACAATGATTGGTATAAGTAATGATATTTTCGGGTGTTTCATATTATAGATTATTGGGTGAGACGATACACGCATTGGGGCAATCTTTCAAGTTGGGAGATATCTTACCGTAGAATTCATCCAAATTCATCTATTATTGAATGCTATAACGCTTTAAAAGAAGATATAGAAATACTTTCTTCCATTGTTCATGGAAACAATAACAAATATCGAAAATTGGAGTCATTGCGTATAAAAGTAAAACAGGTTAGTACTCTTTTTACAAACTGGTGGGATTGTAGAACTGGAAGCACACCGGGCCGCAGTTAGTGAAAGATTTAATACTCGATGTACTAAAGGCTGTCGACTGCGAACGTCCTTCTGCAAGCTTTATCATTTTGTCTAAGGAGTTGAAACACGTTGTTAGTGATTAATAGCAGAACCCAAGGGTTGATCTTTGCTAGCGAGATGGGCACTTGGACTGAGAGGGGGTACATATACAAACGGGGTTGGTGTGTGCCATTCGACGAGTACGAGCCTGATTTTGCTATTGGTCATTAGATTACTATACCTGGCACGGTGCCTCACCACAGGACCATGCCCAGTTACCCTAATTTTAACTGTTGGTAGTGTTTCACCTAATTCAGAAATAATACTGATCTATTATTATTATTATTATTATTATTTTAGTACATAGTAGCAAAAGAGATTGAGACAGCAGAACAATCGTCAAGTCGTCAGCATATAAATCAGGGCATTGAAGATGAAGACAACGATCAAATCCAAGATAATGATTTTAACGAATCAGAATCTATAGTACATAGTTGTAAACAAAAAAGGAAATGTCCTATTTTAGAATGCAATATAGTTGTCAAGCATTCTCTATTAAAAAATTATTGTGAGATGCTTTTAAATTTGCAATCACACCATATCGATGAGGATTCACAGCGTGCCCGGCATTGTTTAGCAATGTTAAGGTGGTCAGTGGTTCATTTAGAAATTTTCATAAATGCCGGGTGGGAAAATATCCCAAAAATGATTAATATTTCAACTCCACGAGTCGCACTCAATCTCTTAACAGCAGTTTTCAAAGAGCATCCCAATGATGAGCTTCGATCTATTGCCACGATATTGCAACTACTTAGACGCCAAGGCAAAATTTGTACAAGTGATTACGATATGACTGCAATCCTTCATTTTTTATTCTCAAATAATCCAAGAAATCACTATGACATAGATGTTTTAACTGCGTCTTCAGCAATAACAGCAGTGATTTCTTATACAGCTACACCAGTTCGTGGTTCTGGAAGTAACCCTTCCGAGAACCACGTAAAAGCTGAATTGTGGTTAAGGATTTTCTCCACGGCTTTTAAGCTGCATAAATTGAGGTTTCTTCCTGTTTGGGAGCTCCAGCACTTAGTTTCAGGTAATGCTGGTCACGGTTCAGCAAGGTCAGACTTTGCTGCAATCGTAAACAACAACAATGACATACAATTTCCATTTTTCCTTGTGGAGTTCGAACGAAACGGATTGGAGGTACATAAAGATGAAATTGTCATTGTTTCTGAAGCAGCACATGAGTTTAATCGTATACTATCTTCGATGCATTACCCATCAGAAAATGAAGTTAACGAAACAAATTTACATGTTGGTTTGGTGAACGACATGAAAATTCGTTTCGGTAGGCTTCAACCACAGTATGACGAAAATAAATCATTGTTGTTTTATGTTTATGATGATGATGTACTCTCATTTAATTTTCATGAAAGAAGTACGGAATCAAATGTAGAAAATGTGTTACGTTTAGTAACATATCTACGAGAAACAGTTTGTGCTGATGGAATGAGAATAAGGACGTTATTAAATAGATATCCAGCACAATTCAACTATAACCTAAAAGCCGCATTACCTATCCTGCCAAGTGAGGCCGTTCATTCTCGAACATTTGAAATGAAGTTCACACCACCTTCAAAACGGGTTAAGTATAACATAGTTTTGGAGGATAAGTAAATTTGATTTGCCGCTATTCTTTTCTACGTCATTTACAGTACATTTTAATATTATGATATATATTTTATGTACAAACTTATTAACAATAAATATAGCTGTCTGCTTTGGTTTATTTAATTCTGGCTTTAATTCAGTCTTCTTGCCCAATTACATTTCAATTCCAAAAATTTAGTGAGTACATTCCTTATTTGTGGTAGTTGAAGCAATATATCGATATGCAGTCTAATTCAAACCACGAAGATTATTCCGGACTTAAAATATAGAAACTGCAGTCTAATTCTATCTTAATGCACTAACAAATTCTAATGCTAATTAGAAAAAATTTGGACCGCAATCTGTTTAAAATTGAGTTAAATGTTAATATTAAATATAAAAAGATATTAAATAATAAAAATTATAAATTACATCTGTGATGTTTACATGACTGAAATATGTAACATATTTTTAAAGTTCATTAAAGTTAGATATATAGGAACTTTATATTAAAACATGATAAGAAATAATCAATTTTTGGCAAAACAAATACTTGTGTTGATTGGTAATGGATACCCTTATGACAAGAAAATCCCGGGCTGAAGATCGCTGAAGATTACTTCCGACCCTATCCGGATCCAATAAAATCACAGGATCTCGTGTAACAAAACAAACACGAAAAACATAAGAAATTGTAAATAACACAAGAATTTAATATTATGACTGGCTTCCGACCTCTAAGTAAAAGTTTTCAGAATGAAATTTTATTTATAGAACACGATTGTTAATGTTAGATATATGGTGAATTTTTGATATACTAAGACTCATATTTTTTCGGCCGGCAGCTTGGAAGTTTCTTGACATAAGGAAATTCTTTGGGGATGGGATGTTACATCTGATCTTGACATTTGATTGGTAGTAGGGCACACATTCTGAACTTGCATAATGTTCAACACCAGACATATAAAAATTCATGTAAATTAATTTTTAATTACGCAGGGGCGAGATTTTGAAAGGTATCTTATATAGATTTTTAACAACCTAATAATCAAAGCAGCCTTGTCACTAGCACCTCTCATGTATTATTCATCTCCATTCTCTGTTAAAAAAAATAATAATTTATATTATTATTACTATTCAATATTCAATTAATATTCGTACCACACTAATATAATTTTTTTTTAAATATTTAAGCAAAGATATCTTAACAACCGCATAATCAATTTTAATAAAATCTTAACCGAATTTACAAATTCATAGAATTTAAATAATTTTTTTTAGGATATTTTCACTGTCTTAAATTTAAAAATTCTGCGCAGTTTCTATCTTGATAAAAAATTAGTATCGTTAATAGAAATTAGTTAAATCAGTTGTTTTGATGCTAGTTCAAATTTATAATAGCTTTACTTTTATATAATTTGATAGTTTAATTTTAATCAAGATTTTTTACCAACAGTTATAATTAATTATATCGTTTTCATTTTACCAATTTTAACTACGATATATATTAAAATATGGGGATAAAAGTCAAAACACCGTAACGATAAAAGGTTATGTTGGCATCACTAGTAGATATCCAATCATCTTCACGTTTTTAGCCCTCCAAAATTGCTTGCGCAGTTCACAGTTATGTCGGCAATACAATTACGTACATCAAAAGTCCGAAGGTTATTAATATTTAGACATATCGGACATTTGAGGTTATACAAGGATGAGATTTTCATCCGACCCCCAAAATATGAGCAAGGAAATAAAAGGATAGAGAGCCTTGTGCTAAAAGAATAACATTTTCCAAAGACTCTCGAACAAATCGATTTAACCATCCTATGATGCCATGTGCTCTTAGATCCTAATTTGCCGAAAAAATTCAACTCGCAGGCAAATTTGTCTGCGAAACGGTTTCAAATTTACAATCCATTTAACCTAACCAATAACAACGAGTTATTTTACTTTATTCAAATTATAGTACGCATGAATTGTCCTCAACGAATTATTTTTCTTTCAAACTTTTCCAATAAAAAATTCATCTTATTAAATACATTAACAAATCAGAGATGTAAATTATCGTTTCTATCTGTGACAAGGTTAATATTAGAAAGTTTAAACTCTAATTTTGATCTAATTATGTACAGTATAAAATCCGAATAACATCAATGTATAGACTCAGAATATTTTACAACAGAAGAAAGTGACATCAGCAGCTTTAGTCAAGGATTATTTTTCCCAAGTAGTGAACATAATGCTCATTTGAATGCATTCATAAAAGTACAAAATGAAAACGTAGCATTAGAAAAGGCTAAATAAGCAGATGATAGATTAGTAGAGGTTACTAATTTCCCAAAGATGATTTTTTTGTCTATTATCGTATTGATAATTTACG